CCACAAAGGGTGCAGTAATCTGCTGACTGCTCACCATGTGCCAGGCCTTTGCCTGCTTTATCTCATTTAACTCTCACAAAGCCCTAAGAGGGAGGGTCTTGTGTTTTCATTACCCTGATGCTGAAATGAAGGCTAGCGAGGTTGACTGTCCAAGGTTACACGGAGAGAGGCAAAGTCCTTATTCTGAACAAATTTTCTTGCTCCTCCTTTTGCATCTCGGTGTCCCCCATACATAGAGAACACACATGCCCCTATCAACGCAAGCCAATATCCTTCTCCCTTCTGTTGATTTAAATCCGGTGTCTCTAGAACCACAGATTTCCCTGCTCTGCTAATCTCTCAGGCCCTCGAGGCCCCCTCAGGCACTGGGGGCACCTGCGGCATCAAGCCCAGCACTGCCCTGAGACGCCACATCTGCAAGGCTTGTGCCCCGTCAGAGTGTGAATCCCAGCCTTCAGCATTAGGCCTCACACAGAGTCAGTGCTTAATAAACGTACACTGAATAGGTGACAGGAAGGCACAGCAAATGGCGCGCACACGTGTGTGTGTGTGTGTCCTCCTCCGTATAGCCCAGGGCCTGCACAGAGCCAGCAACAACAAACAGCGGTCGGAAATATGTGAAAGAGGATCTAACAGTTTAACATTTCTGTTTTGTTCTACCTCCTTTCTGTTTGTATCCAGCTGGGGCTGCAACCTCCCAGAAGGTAAGGATGAGGAATGTGGGCGTGTGTGGGGGTGGGGTATTGGGGAATGGAGGAGGCACAGGGCAGGGAGCAGAGCTTTCCCATGGCGAGAATAAGGCTCACATAGAGAATGAGGGAGAGAGAGAGATGCCAAGATCTGAGTTAGAGCAGAAGGAAAACGAGCCCTGAATAGGAGCCTTGTGTGTGGCCCTGTGGTGCTGACTCACCCAGACTCAGGAGAGGAAAACACACTAGGGATGAAGAAGGGGCTCGTATGCTGTGGCCACCACCCTCCCACCCTGAGGACACCCTGTCTGCTCTGAGGCCCGAACGGCCCTGCAAGGCTTTGATTTGGGTTGGGTGGGCTGGGGGAGCTGGGGGAAGTAGGGGTGGGCACCACAGAGAAGGGAGATGGGTAAGCCTTTTGAGAAAGCAGAAGACCCTTCCTGGGAGAGCTGTGGGTTTGAGTTCAGGTGGGGAAGGAGGAGCAGGGCGAGGAGGTGGCTCTCCCCACCTTCCCGCATTCAGCTGCCCCTTCCCCATGGGCAGGTGTGGCAGGTCAGACGCACAAGCAGGGAGGGGATAGATGCTCAGGGTTTCAGTGGCTTCTTGTCCACACCTGAGGAGCAAGACATGCCTATGAGTAAGTGCCTCCCAGAGCTGATGCTGCAGATCAAGGCACCATCCTCCCCACTCCCAGCCTCACCATAGACATCACACTGATTCAGGGACACGACGACAGGATTTTTGTGGCCACCAGTATGGCAGGCAGGTAGGCAGCCCTAGGCCAGCAGGCAGAGGGCAAGGCCTGGGATATGGAGCAGCCCAGGTGAGAAAGATCAAAAGTCAGACTTTGTAGAGAAGCAGGTGAGGGGAGGACAGGGTGCCTGAGGGAGCAGCCAGGGCTGGGCTAGGAATTCTGGTCTCAGTTCAGCTCAAGGAGAAGCAGGGGGCTGAAGCAGAAAGAGGGAGCCAGACTGACTTTCAGCCGGGCCTATTCTCCTCCCAGCACAAGGCAGCTAGAATCAAGGGCCTTAAAGCTTCCCCCTCACTCTAACCTTTGGTGACTCCACATGTGTAGGCAATTGTCCCCCTCCTTTCTTCTGGCTGATGCCCCCACTCCCTCAGTGTCCTGTTCCTGCCTGAGAGTCTCAAAAGAAAGCCAATGAACCGGTGGATTCACACTTAGGTGTATGACTGACGACGATAAGCTAATATTTTGAACTCCCCAAATGTATCATTCGTTTTGACTCCAGTATGGCCACTGGAAGGAGAGTGGACTTAAGGCCAAATGACAGTCTGAATCCCAGCAGTGCCACTGAGTCTCAGCCCTGCTCCACTGTAGGACCTTGAGTCATGGGCTGTGCCTCGCTGGGCCTTCATTAGTTGTGTTGATTAAATGAAGTCACAGATGTGATATACTTGGTGAGAGCTTGACACCAAATAAAATACTTAGAAAATGTGTCTGCCCACCTTTAGAGGATGTAATCATGAGCCGAAGGAACAGGGTCGACTCTGAGAGACCAAGGTGCAGGAGGCGTACCAGAGAGTACCCTGCGCTCTGCAGGAAGGACGGGACGAGGGGAGGGCCAGGATGGGACTGGACGGAGGGGAGGGCCAGGAAAGATAAACTGCAGCTCCATCTCAGCAGAGGGCTCAGCTAGCCCTCAGGGGGTTTGGTTGTGAAGCTGGGGTGACCCTCTAGATCTGCGACAAGGAGGCCAGGCCTTTATACTCCATGTCGATCCGTCTTCAGATATGAACTGCCCATGGGCGGAGACGTGACCGTGGTCAAACTGCTTTCTTTCAGTTAAGGCAATTCCCAGAAAGGGCTTATAGCCAACGGCTGTTCCCTGTCAGCATTTCCTGTAGCAAGGGAGAGAAATCCTTCATTCCTGAAGGGGGACCTGAGTGTCTGCCACGCTGAGTGCGTAGGACTCTTGTCCTATTAAGGAGGTGACTCCCCAGGGAGAAGGCCAATCTTGTTGCGCCACTTCCCAGTAATTCCTCAGAGTGACCACTTCACAGCGGTGTGGGCAGAGCCACGGGACCTTCCCTGCAACCCCCCAGCCTGACAGCAGCACAAACACTCCCACTGCTGGGCAAATAGCAGAAGCTGCTTTTCCATCCCTCCCAGGGAATAAGGAGTCACTTGAATGTGTCCCAAGAGGACCCATTTCAATCTTTTCAAAGCTTGATTGTCATTTTTCTTGCTTATAGAGATTTGGACGGTAGGAGTGGACATTTGTGGGTAATGCAGTATTTTGGCAACAAGGTCCTTGCTCAGCCTGCCTTTTGCAGTTCCTAGGGCTTCCCTACTGGTTATTTGAGAACGTTTTGCAGAGTGGTGTGGCCTGGGCGCTCCTTCTTACACCAGCCCCGAGCCCCACACTGTCGTCAGTCTTCCTGAAGCAGGACTCAGCTCTTGGGGCCTTCTTGTGCCTGTCTCTGACCTCATCCCAAGACTAGACAAGCCAACTGAAATGCAAGGCAAACACAGGGAGCCAGTGCAGAACGCCAGGTAAATAATGTTTTGGAAAGAGAAGACACTTGGTTTTTTTTTTCTAGTTAACTTTTTCCTGCCCACAAAGAGCTGTTTTGGCCAGTACCACCTTTAATGAACCTCTATTCAGTTGCCTCTTTTAAATTTTGTGTTAAAATTGTGCTCCCCCCAACCAGATGAGATGAGAGAGAACCCAAGGTTTTCTATAATAGCTACTTTGGTTTCTGTCTCATCTTAAATATCTAAGAAACATGAGTTGCTTGAGGAGAATAAGATTAAAGATGTTTTTGTTTTTGTTCCATTTACCTGATTTGATAAAGGTCTCTTGGTTTCCTTTAGGCCCGATAATCCATTCCCGGGGGCAGGGATGCGTCCGAGGTGGTGGAGGAACCGCAGGGTGTCCTGCCAGGTTTAAACCTGCCCCAAGCCACTGGCT